CACGGCTCTGTGATGTGTTAGCCCAGGCTGGCCACCAACTCTGTGAAACTGAGGCCCACGTCTGCTTTGAGGGACTGGACTCAGACCCTACTGGGACTGCCTATGGAGCATCCATCCCTCTGGCTCGGGCCATGGACCCTGAAGCTGAGGTCCTGCTGGCATATGAGATGAATGGGCAGCCTCTGCCACGTGACCACGGCTTCCCTGTGCGTGTGGTGGTTCCTGGAGTGGTGGGTGCCCGCCACGTCAAATGGCTGGGCAGAGTGAGTGTGCAGCCAGAGGAAAGTTACAGCCACTGGCAACGGCGGGATTACAAAGGCTTCTCTCCATCTGTGGACTGGGACACTGTAGATTTTGACTCTGCTCCATCCATTCAGGAACTTCCCATCCAGTCGGCCATCACAGAGCCCCGGGATGGAGAGACTGTAGAATCAGGGGAGATGACCATCAAGGGTTATGCATGGAGTGGTGGTGGCAGAGCTGTGATCCGGGTGGATGTGTCTCTGGATGGGGGCCTAACCTGGCAGGTGGCTAAGCTGGATGGAGAGGAACAGCGCCCCAGGAAGGCCTGGGCATGGCGTCTGTGGCAGTTGCAAGCCCCTGTGCCAGCTGGACAAAAGGAACTGAACATTGTTTGTAAGGCTGTGGATGATGGCTACAATGTGCAGCCAGACACTGTGGCCCCAATCTGGAACCTGCGAGGTGTCCTCAGCAATGCCTGGCATCGTGTCCATGTCTTTGTTGCCCCATGAGCATGGAAAAGAGCCACCTCAACCCCTTTCCCCACCCATTAGCCTCACTGCTTCAGAAAAATCTTTCCCACCCCTCAACTTCTTGGATCACAACTCTGGCTTCCTAAGCCATACCCAAGTACACATATAGCACATTTCACCCAGGGCCTCTCCCTCTTTGGACACTATGTTACATATCCCTCTTGGCCTTTGAACCTGTGCCAGGAAATGTGAGCTGTTACAGCAAGGGGCTAGAAGTGAGATAAGTAATTCTGGAGACAAGCACTATTTTGTTTTCGTACCCCACCTCCGTTTCTAATGCCTACTGCCATCAAGGCCTTGTTTTGCTTTTCTTTTTGGATTCTTCAGAGAAATGTGTGTGGCATGTGTAAGAAAAGTGTATATACTATTATCTCTCCAGGTTGCAAAGTTGTGAGGAGAGCAAGGGGCACAACCATCTCCCTTTACAGTTCTACTTTTCTAATAAATAGTCTGTTTAAGATCATGACTCTTGGGCCTGGGGAGTGAGCCTATTGCAGGAGGGAGGATGCATTTATACTGGGATGTATAATGAGATTAGTCCAAAACAAACAAAACTGGGGAGGAAGACAGAGAGGAAGTAGGCTTGTAGGTTAAGAAGTGTGGCTTCTGGCTGGGCACAGTGGCTCATGCCTGTAATCCCAGCACTTTGGGAGGCCGAGGCCAGTGGATCACTTGAGGTCATGAGTTTGAGACCAGCCTGGCCAACGTGGCAAAACCCAGTCTCTACCAAAAATACAAAAATTAGCTGGGTGTGGTGGCGGGCGCCTGTAATCCCAACTACTTGAGAGGCTGAGGCAGGAGAATCTCTTGAACCAAGGATGCGGAGGTTGCAGTGAGCCGAGATCACACTACACCCCAACCTGGGCGACAGAGCAAGATTCCATCTCAAAAAAAAAAAGGGAGAGGGGGCTTCCTTCTCTGAGGTCTGGCAGTATCTGCAGGGACACCTAGGTGATTGACTTCAGGATACCATGAAGAGAGAAGAGGTGACAAAAACATGTATCCTCCAACCCCTCTCCCCAACAATTCCAATGCACTTGGCAGGAAAGGCAAAGGGTGCTAGGAGTTTAAAATCAATATTGTCTTAGGAGGCTGTGAAAGCAAAATAAATCTCGGGGCCCCAGAATCACTGAGCTAAAGGGAAAAGTCAAGCTGGGAACTGATTAGGGTAAACCTGCCTCCCATTCAAAGTCATCCCTCTGCTCACTGAGATAAATGCATTGGAATACAACCATTTGCCTTTTTTTTTTTTTTTGTAGAGACGGAGTCTCACTCTGTCACCCAGACTGGAGTGCAGGAGTGCGGTGGTGCGATCTCCGCTCACTGCAACCTCGGCCTCCGGAATTCAAGCAATTCTCCTGTCTCAGTGTCCCAAGTAACTGGAACTACAGGCACACACCACCACGCCGGGCTAATTTCTTTTGTATTTTAGTAGAGATGGGTTTCACCATGTTGCCCAGGCTGGTCTTGAACTCCTGAGCTCAGGCAATCAGTCTGCCTCCCAAAGTGCTAGGATTATAGGCCTGAGCCACCAGGGCTTTTTTTTTTTTTTTTTTTTTTGGAGACGAAATCTCACTCTGTTGCTCAGGCTGGAGTGCAGTGGTGTGATCTCAGCTCACTGCAACCTCCTCCCGGCTTCAAGCGATTCTCCTGCCTCCATCTCCCAAGTAGCTGGGACTACAGGCGCCTGCCACCACGCCCGGCTAGTTTTTTTATTTTTAGTAGAGACGGGGGTTTCACAATGTTGGCCAGGCTGGTCTTGAACTCCTGACCTCAGGTGATCTGCCCGCCTCGGTCTCCCAAAGTGCTAGGATTACAGGCGTGAGCCACTACGCCTGGCCCCATTTGCCTCTTATCTACCTAGGACCTGGAAGCCTCCTCCCAGTTTTGAATTGTCCCGCCTTTACATATATTGATTGATGTCTCTCGTCTCCCTCAAATGTATAACACCAAGCTCTGCTCCAATCACCTAGGGCACATGTCGTCAGGATCTCCTGAGGCTGTGTTAGGGGCGTGCGTCCTTAACTTTGGCAAAATAAACTTCCTAAATTGAGACCTGTCTCAGATTTTTGGGATTCACAAGGTACAGAGGGAAAACTTCGCTCTAGGGCCTGATGTGCCAGGCCACATAGGGTGTCCACTGTGTGCTTAGATTGCAAACTGGGTGCAGATTAAAGGCCAGTTTTTAGATTACCTTCGGCAGGCGATGGCGCCTTTCGGACTTGAATCTTTCGGCGCTCGGCTACTCTCCCCTAGCTCCTCTCCCTTTTTCCCCCAGCAGTCTCCCGGGCTTGGGGACGCTCGGTGTTCGGCCAAGCCGCCTGTCGCCTGGTAGTGGGACCGGAAGTTGTTAGGGGGAGGGGGACGGCTGTGATGGGGGGGGATATATGGGGGGGCAGGTCCCTTCTCAGGTGAAGCTGCTGATGGAGATGGAGCCGCCGCCGCCGCCTCTCAGCGCCCGGGTCCTGGCTCCGGCCCGGCGACTGCCGCCGCCTCAGTGACCCCACTCCCCCCGCACTGGGCCGCCCGGGCCAGAGTGGGGGACCCCCGCCCCCCCGCCTCCCTTTTCCCCAACACCGTCCCCTCTCCCCCACCCCTCACAGCCTGCGCGCGCGCGCGGAGACTCCTCAGGTGAGTGAGGGGCGGGGCTTGGGGGGGGTTAAAGCGAGGGCGGGGCCTCGGTGGCCGGGGGCGGGGCCTGAGGGGCTCGGGCGTGAAGGAGCTGGGAGACGTGGGCGGGGGAAGGGGCCAGGCTGAGAGAGGGGCGCGCGTTGGGCTGGGGCCCGACCACTGGAGGGGTGGAACATGGCCGGAGGAGTTTGGCCCGAGGCCCCAGTATTAAGAGGGAGGTAGCAGGGACTTGGGGTCCTAAAAAGGCGGGAGACAGATCACCGCAGGGGTCTGAGGACTGTCTGGAGCTGGCAGCCGCGGGGCTCCTCCGTGGGGATGTGGTTTGGGTATACAGCAGAAGGACAGAGAGGAGAAAGGAGCAGCAGAGAGGGTATCTGAACAAAACAAGAGAGGGACCCGGGTATTGGGTCGAGGAATGCTGAAGACAGGAGTCTGGGGATAAAGACGTAGGCCTAGGTGAGAAGATTTGGGAGGCAATGAGCATATTGGGAGAAACATATAGAGAAGAAACTTAGGATGGAGTGAGAAGTGCACAGTGTAGGGTGAGAGGTGTAGGGAACTTGGGAAGCAAGGCTGGGAAGGAAGAGATTCACTGCCTAAGAGCCCTAAGAAAGAAATGCAACGGAGGAAACCCCAGGGCAGACATCCAGATGGGAGCTGCAAACTTGGGAAGCAGGCTGCCTGCTTCCTGTGTACCAAAACAGCCCTCCCTGTACCTCCTCACACAAATCCCATTTTCTTACCCCTTGGCTGCTAGAGTTGTAGGTTCTCACTTTTTAAATTTTCTATATTATTTATGTGCCTTTAAAAAAGTTATGATTAGGGCCGGGCGTGGTGGCTCAAGCCTGTAATCCCAGCACTTTGGGAGGCCGAGACGGGCGGATCACGAGGTCACAAGATCAAGACCATCCTGGCTAACACGGTGAAACCCCGTCTCTACTAAAAAAAAATACAAAAAACTAGCCGGGTGAGGTGGCAGGCGCCTGTAGTCCCAGCTACTCGGGAGGCTGAGGCAGGAGAATGGCGTGAACCCAGGAGGCGGAGCTTGCAGTGAGCTGAGATCCGACCACTGCACTCCAGCCTGGGCAACAGAGCAAGACTCCGTCTCAAAAACCTGGGCAACAGAGCAGACTTACTGAAAAAAAAAAAAAAAAAAAAAAAAGTATGAGTAGTCCTGTCTGGGAGCAGTAGAATGTTTAACGGAACGTGGACCTTTAGATATGTTCATGAAATATTGTACCCCAATGCCCCTCCAAGGTCAAGAACTTATGAACTCTGCTTACAGAAATTTTTTTTTTTTTTTTTTTTTTGAGACCGAGTGTCTCTCTTGTTGCCCAGGCTTGAGTGCAATGGCGCAATCTTGGCTCACTGCAACCTCCATCTCCCGGGTTCAAGTGATTCTCCTGCCTCAGCCTCCCAAGTAACTGGGATTACAGGTGCCCACCACCACTCCTGGCTAATTTTTTGTATTTTTAGTAGAGATGGGGTTTCACCATGTTGGCCAGGCTGGTCTCGAACTTCTGACCTCAGGTGATCCACCCGTCTTGGCCTCCCAAAGTGCTGGGATTACAGGCATGAGTCACCATGCCTGGCCAGAAAATTTTTTGCATACCTTATTTCACTCCATTTCCTTCTCTCATGAACAAAACTATCTCGTGTTGTGACTCTTATCAACCCTCGCTTATATGTCTAGTAGTTCCTACTGTGCCTGTCTCCCCGGCCTGTGCCCTCAAAGCATCAGTGGTGGGCATGGTATGTTCCTGACATCCTCACATGTCAGCTTTAGGTGTTCCAACATCATAGTCAACCAGATGACCATTGAAGCCTGTCTCCCCTTACTGATACTTGCTCACTTTGCCTGGGTGAAGATACATGTTCATATCCTTAAGGAAGCATGAAAATGCTGTCTGACTACCTAGAATATTTCCACTTAAGATAACTCAGATTCTGAGGATAAGGCCAGATAAAAGGCCAAATCAGACAATCTTTGAAAGCATAGTGTTTCCTTTGGTTGGGGCACCAGCTGGTAATCCCTTACCTCCTCATGGACCTGCCAGTAGATCCGTGCTCCATCATTTGCAGGAGGACTTCAGCTTTCCCTACTAACAGCCTAAAGCCAGAGAATCCAGACAGCCCCTTGGATCATGAGAACAGTCAGATGAGTAGCTCCTGAGATAAAAATAAAATCTTAAAAGAAGAAAATAGCTTTACCATTGGGAAGCAAGAGAAGTTTCACTGGAGCTTCTGGGGTGGGCTTCAGGATGGTGAGAGCTGCCCTCATTTTGGCAGCTTCAGAATTATACCTTGCCCTAGTCAATAGAAGTTCATGTCTCAAACACAAAATATAATGTCTTTGTTGCCCACTGAGTGCAGTTAGTTAGTTGAATTGTAGCTTTTGGGCAATCCCCTTCCTCTGAGTAGGTTAAGGGTAAGGCATATTTCAGGACTTGGCTCAGAAATAAGTCCTGACTTTTTCCCAGTGAAAATGCAACTGAAAGTCTCTTTATATCCTCTTAGTTTGAAATCTGCAGCTTGAACTTCCCAGCATGGGAGAAACTTATCCCACCTTTCACCCTACCCCACACACACAGCAGTATCCACAAAGGAATTATTTTTTTCCCCAACTGGCCACCTCTCTCTGTCCCTACACACACACACACACACACACACACACACACACACACACCCCAAAGAAAAAGAAAGATAGGTATTTCTAGCTTCATTTTACTCTGTAGGAACAAATAAGAGTGTGGGACCCTGTGAGTGTGGACAATACCACAGGCAGAGGGACTCCCTTTCTTTATTGGTCTGTTGACTCTACTGAAGAAAGCTTTGAATTCCAGGCTTTGATTTGCTTCCTCTTCTTAAAAGAGTTATGAACTCTGTTCTGGAAACAGAGAGATAGGTTCAAAGTTTATCAGACAAAAGCATCTAAGAAAGGGTAGTGCTGATATGAATGCTGATATGAATGACCTGGTCCAGCTGGGGGTAGGATCCACATTGTAGGCTCTGATGCAATACATATGCTGGGGTAGTCCTCGAGCTAAGAGGCCGTTTCTACTTTAAAGAGACTTAATGACCATCTAGTTTGAGGTTTTCCTCAGGTCCATTATCTCTGAAAAGAGACATAGGAGGAAGAGGATTATTTATCCTCCCATTCATAAGCCTGTGTTTCCTGTTCAAGGATTTAGGTCACCAAGACACAGACCCAAAAACTATTCATTTAATAACCCAAGAAAGAAGGCAAGCAGGGTGGCCCAAATCTTCCAACTGGGGCAAGATTTAATAAAGTGTTCCAGTAGAAAGAACCCTCTAATGGTAACTTGGGCTCTACATGTCCTACTTCTGTTGTTAACCAGATGGGTGACTCTGGGCTTAGTTTCTTCTGTTAAAAACCAGGAAATTGTAGGTCATCTCTCAACTCCATTTCAGCTCCAGGATTCCTCAGGTCCTGGAGTACCCCTTCCCTAGACCCTCCACATGAAGAAGAGAGGCTTACCAAATTGGATTGTCAGAGCAAAACTATTAGCAGTGGAGCCTGAAAACATCTTTCTGGCCCAGACAACAGTGAGCTTTTTTGATCAGCATGTATTAGGGACTTTTGGCTACAATTGCAATCGAAGGCAATTGTTCCTGTCTCTTCTACATTTTTTTGCTACTGTACCCTAGTCAGAATAGTTCATTGAGACTTCCCTGTAATTTCAAACTTCACTTGAGAGCACTAACCCTGTTTTGGGCATCTTTGGCTTTAAAACTGATTATTATAAAACTCAAATTGAATTTCCCTGCTCTACTTTCTCCACCCCTGCCCAAACATACCACTGAACAGCAGTGACTTTGTGACGACTTTCTATCAACAGAGAGCTATACTTCGGGGTATGCCCAAAAACCCCAAAAAGTATCATCTCCTGTGTATCATATCTAGTGATTTAAAGTGTTTAGTTTGGCCCTTTTCCTTCGTTCCTTATGTCCTGAAATGAGACATGGGAGGGATAGGATTGTTTCTTCTCCCACTCATAAACCTTAGCCTTCTCTCTCTTCTGCAGTCTACATGGGGAGGACAGAGAAGCGCAAAGAACAAGAGAAAAGATGCATCCATCTGAGATCTAAAAGGAGACAATGAGGTGATATTTTCCCCCTGCCCAGGTGTTGTGTTTTCAGCTCTTACCCCTTTTTATTTTAGAGACTGGCCATTCCTAGGATGACCTGGGAATTCATCCCCTCTGCACTGCTCCCCAAGTACTTGGATAATGAAGCTGAGCTGTCTTCAACTGTATTATATGTAGACAGAAGGTCACCATCTACAGCCTGGTGAAAAATGAGTCAGATCTTTCCACTGTAAAGACAAACACATGAGCTGAGCTAAGATTGGTGGGTTTCCTTCAGAGAACACTAGGTTGACCCTAAAGATTATTTCAGAGCTGCAAATTGCTTGATGTCTAGATCTTTTTCCTGGAAAGGGGCTTGCAGACAATGGCTAATTCCATACCTTTCCCTGGCCCCTTTGCCTCTTCTTCCTCCTCAATTATGCAAAGCTTTTGATAGATAGCAGAGCCAGCTATGTGATTCCAACATGTTTTTGCTCAGATTTCATTCAGTTCAGGAAGGCACAGATAGTAGAGGATGATGCTGTGGGTTTGCTCTACTTGTAGCACCTGAATGGCTCACACCCAAGGCACATGGGAAGTTCTGTCTTTTTAATAACCACTGGTCTCCACCTCAGAACCCAGGTACTAAGGGAAAATGGAGAAAAATTTTCTACTTCTGCCTGTTAGAGTTTGGGAATAATAACACAAACATGGTATGGATCCTTGCCATTCTCTCTACCTTCACCGTCTTTCCCAACAATATTCTGCTCATGACCTTTTACCCCCTAGGCCACAATAAGCATGTGTTAAATGACTTTTTTTTTTTTTTTTTTTTTGAGATGGAGTTTCACTCTTGTTGCCCAGTCTGGAGTGCAATGGCCTGATCTCGGCTGGCTGCAACCTCTACCTCCAGGGTTCAAGTGATTCTCCTGCCTCAGCCTCCCGAGTAGCTGGGATTATAGGCATGCACCACCACCCCCAGCTAATTTTGTATTCTTGGTAGAGACGAGGTTTCTTCATGTCGGTCACGCTGGTCTCAAACTCCCTACCACAGGTGATCCGCCCGCCTTGGCCTCCCAAAGTGCTGGGATTACTGGCGTGAGCCACCACACCCGGCCTAAATGACTTTTTTTTTTTTTTTTTTTGAGATGGAGTCTCACACTTTCACCTAGGCTAGAGTGCAGTGGTGCAATCTCCGCTCACTGCAAGCTCCGCCTCCCGGGTTCACACCATTCTCCTGCCTCCCAAGTAGCTGGGATTACAGGCGCCCACCACCACGCCCAGCTGATTTTTTTGTATGTTTAGTAGAGACGGGGTTTCACTGTGTTAGCCAGGATGGTCTTCATCTCTTGACTTCGTGATCCGCCCACCTCGGCCTCCCAAAGTGCTAGGATTACAGGCGTGAGCCACCGCACCTGGCCTAAATGACACTTTTTTTTAAGGTCTCACTATGTTGACCAGGCTGGCCTACAACTCCTAGACTCAAGCAGTCCTCTTGCCTTGGCCTCCCAAAGTGCTGGGATTACAGGTATGGACCACCATGCCTGGCCTAAATTCCAGTTTTGAAGTGTTACTGGATTAAACAGGATTCTTTAGAGTATTTGAAGAGTTTTAATCACTTGTGATGTCCATCTTATTTCAGGCTTTTGGAGCCACCACATAGAGAAAACCTCACTTTCTCACATTTTTATCACCAATACTTAGAGCAGTGAGAATGTTTCTGGGGAAAAGGGGGTGGTAGCTGATACCTGATCTCCTCTTGGAAATCAGACTCTGGATTCGTCCTCCTGCTGCCTGTCAGGGAGCCTAGTGGGAAATCTTCTGTCTAGAAAGGATGCCCATTCCTGTTCAAATGTGTTATCATGTTGGTGGGAGAAAGCCAGGGCCATGGAGGACTCTTGTTTATGCCAAGTGGATTCAAACAAATGGGGAAGAGCTAGGCACAGTGGCACATGCACCTGTAGTCCCAACTACTCATGAGGCTGAGGAAGGATTGCTTGAGGCCAGGAGTTTGAGGCTGTAGTGTGCTGTGATTGTGCCCGTGGACAGCCACTGCACTCCAGCCCAGACAACATAGTGAGATCCCATCTCTAGTAAATACAATAAAAAAGAACAGGGAAGAAAATTTGTGTCTCCAGAGGTTACAATGACCAGCGTTTCCTCCCTCCTCACAGAGATATTCCTTTTGAATTGGAACACTGATTGTTTCTAGTTGCTTTGTATTCAGCTCAGAGCTCAATTTACAGTACATATGTGTCTACCCCCCCATCACTGAGTGACAGTTATGTTGCTTTATTTATTTATTTATTTTGTGACAGAGTCTGACTCTGTCACCCAGGCTGGAGTGCAATGGCGTGATCTCGGCTCACTCCAACCTCTGTCTCCAGGGTTCAAACAATTCTTATGCCTCAGCCTCCCAAGCAGCTGGGACTACAGGCGCGTACCACCAAGCCCAGCTAATTTTTGTAGTTTTATTAAAGACGGGGTTTCACCACGTTGGCCAGGCTGATCTTGAACTCCTGACCTCAAGTGATCCGCCTGCCTCAGCCTCCCAAAGTGCCGGGATTACAGGTGTGAGCCACCGCCCCCGGCCGACAGTTGCTTTAAAGCCAATCTCCTTCCAAGATCTTTGATCTAAAACTGTCTCATGTAACTAACTTCCCTCTCCTTATACCTCCTCCTCTTGCAATGTGTCTCCAATTGGCACTGCCTAATTTGACCCAGTTCCTCTAAGGAGATACTAAGATCCGCCTGGCTGGTTAGGCAGGGGAGGAGGTGCTTTGAGGGGTAGAGAGTAGGAAGGCTGGGCGGGATGTGTGCAGGGAGACTTGAGCAAAGAGTAAAGTGCATCTACTGATTTGCTCCTGGTTTGCACAGAAAACCAGGACTGAGAACAGCAGAGTTTCAATCCAATACCCTCTCACTTCCAGGGTTACCAACTTGGTATTAAAACCAGCGCGGTGGCTCACGCCTGTAATCCCAACGCTTTGGGAGGCTGAGGAGGGCAGATCACCTGAGGTCAGGGGTTCGAGACCGGCCTGGCCAACCTGGCAAAACCCCATCTCTACTAAAAATACAAAAATTCGCTGGGCGTGTTGGCGCACACCTGTAATCCCAGCTACTCAGGAGGCTGAGGCAGGAGAATCACTTCAACCCGGGATGCAGAGGTTGCAGTGAGCCGAGATCATGCCAATGCACTCCAGCCTGAGTGACAGATCGAGACTCCGTCTCAAAAAGAAAAAGAAAAAAAGAAACAAAAACCTAGCTGGAGGCAGCTAAGTACTGATTTTGCCCAAGATGTGTCACAGAGCACATGTTAAGAGCAATTAAGCAGGAAAACTCAGCTTACTGTTAGAAAGAAAGTCCAACTCAGAAAACAACTCCTTCAGACCCTTCTGGAAATTGTTTTGGGGCCATTTGGGCAGAAGTCCAAGAATGAGATACACTTCCTGAGCCAGTGCTAGCTGAATGCTGTGCTTCACCTGTTCTGCCCACCTAGTGCTTGTCTAGCCCTTCATTCATGGAGGCATTAGGCATACTGCATGCACACGCATACACACACACAAAAAAAAAATACGAGCATATTTCTTCCTGTAGAGCCAGCTCGACTTGTTCTTCCTTTTAAAGTAACAGACCCCACTCCCACAGGGATCACACCAAAGGAAAAGATGCCTTACCTGATGTTAGAACCAGGGAAAAGAATTAGCCAAGTGTGGTGGTCCATGCCAGTAGTCCCAACTACTCAGAAGGCTGAGGCAGGAGAATTACTTGAACCTGAGAGCCAAACTCATGCCACTGCACTCCAGCCTGGGCAACACAGTGAGACTCCATCTCAAAAACAAAACAAAAACAGGGAAAAGCAAGAAAACCCATGAAAGCCTTGAGTAGCCTGGCTTTTGAAAGATTTAATAGAAGGAGGACACCTCAGAGAGGCAGGCAACTTGTGTTCTTGTTCTTGTTCTATTCTCACCATGAACCCTGGGACAAGTAACTTCACTGCTCTCAGCCTCAGTTTCTCTCAGTTTCTCTAAGCAGAAAACAGGAAAATCCTGCTCACTCTTGCCTCTCCTGCATGGGGAGGTGTGTGAGGGAAGTTTCAAGTGGCACTTTGGGGTTTTTTTGTTTTGTTTTGTTTCGTTTTGTTTTGTTTGAGACAATGTCTTGCTCTTGTCGCCCAGGCTGGAGTGCAATGGCACAATCTCAGCTCACTGCAACCCCCGTCTCCCAGGTTCAAGCAATTCTCCTGCCTCAGCCTCCCGAGTAGCTGGGATTACAAGTGCACCCCACCACGCCCGGCTAATTTTTGTATTTTAGTAGAGATGGGGTTTTGCCATGTTGGCCAGGCTGGTCTCGAACTCCTGACCTCATGATCCGCCCACCTCAGCCTCCCAAAGTGCTGGAATTACAGGTGTGAGCCCCCACGCCCAGCTTCAAGTGGCACTTTGAACTTTGCATTCTTTTTTTGGGGGGGGAATGGAGTCTCCCTTTGTTGCCCAGGCTGGAGTGCAGTGGCGTGATCTCTGCTCACTGCAACCTACACCTCCCCGGTTCAAGCAATTCTGCCTCAGCCTCCCGAGTAGCTGGGATTATAGGTGTGCACCAACACACCCAGCTAATTTTTTTATATTTTTAGTAGAGATGGGGTTTCACCATGATGGCCAGGCTGGTCTGGAACTCCTGACCTGAGGTGATCCACCCACCTCGCCCTCTCAAAGAGCTGGGATTACAGGCATGGGCTGCCACGCCCAGCCCAAGCTTTCCATTCATTTTGAAAAGCCCCAAAGGGCAATTATGAATCTAATGATTTGGAAACGAAAGGGGCCCTCAATACCAGACTGCCCTCCTTTATCTTTTGATCTCTATCTCAAGTTGCATGGCTAGTTCCAGAAAGTATGAGTTCCCTAACAACTGTGGACTTGGGCTCTTCTAATCATTGTTCCTAAGGGACCCTTCAAGGAACCACTTATTATTGTGGCTTGTTCTAGTGGTCTGGTCCCAAAGTTCAGTCCATCCCAGGAAGGATGTCAAGAAAAGAGGGTTAATAAACTTAGATAATTTTTTTCTCTATGCCCTGGCTTCCTAGGGAAATAGGGTTGATACTAGGAATCTCTCTGACAAAATTTAAGAGAGAATTGCTTTGTGAAGTGAAGGTAAGCCCATGTTTCAGGTTTTCTCATGAGCCTTTAAAAGGAGTCTCTCAACTCCAGACAAGAACTGGGTGGGGGGCAGGAAAACAGATACTTTCCTCTGTGTGCCTTCCTGCACCCCCTCACCCCGACCCTCACCTCTCTCAATATACCATTACAAGCAAACCAAATTTTTATCCGTCTGCCTCAGTGAGATCCTTCAAAAAGACCAAGAATCCCCACAGCAACTCAGACTGTTCCCTTGCCCCATTCTTGCTTCTGCCTCTGCCTCAGGGCGTTTAGTTTTCATCAGATGAGTGGGGGATGCAATTTTAATTTATTTATTTTATTTTATTTTATTTTGTTTTTTGTGACCGGGTCTCACTCTGTCGCCCAGACTGGAGTACAGTGGCAGGATCTCGGTACACCACAACCTCCACCTCCTAGGCTCAAGTGATTCTCCTGCCTCAGCCTCCCAAGTACCTGGGATTACAGACTCACACCATCGCCCAGCTAATTTTGTTTTGATTTGTTTTTTTAAGAGACGGAGTTTCACTCTTGTTGCCCAGGCTGGAGTGCAATGGTGTGATCTCGGGTCACTGCAACCTCCGCCTCCCGGGTTCAAGTGATTCTCCTGCCTCAGCCTCCCGAGTAGCTGGGATTACAGGCATGTGCCACCACGCCTGGCTAATTTTTTTTGTATTTTTAGTAGAGATGGGATTTCTCCATGTTGGTCAGGCTGGTCTCAAACTTCTGACCTGAGGTGATCTGCCCACCTCAGCCTCCCAAAGTGCTGGGATTACAGGTGTGAGCCACCAGGCTGGCCGCAATTTTGGATGTATGTAAATTTCCACCAGATAGATTTTTTTTCTCTCCTCCCACAGGCTCCTAAAGAGATAATTCATTGCAACAAATTATCACTTTTAAGTGTTCTCAGTTACTAATTGTTTAATACTCTACTGCCAATTACTGCTTGCCTTCCCTCAAATAGACTTTAACCTTCATTTTAAATTCAGACTCCCCCCCCTTTTTTTAAATAAGCATAGCAGAGTAATTGATGAGAGGGTGGGGATAACCATTTACAGGTTTAATTTGTTTATCACACCTTCAGTAGAGGACTTATCACTGAACCCTGAGTGGGCTGCTCTTCTCCACCTTCTACTTTTCCTGTCACCATCCCTCACACAACATACTCCCAGACAGAATCCCTTGAATGACTGAACCCAGCTTCTTATTACTACCCCATCTTTAACTGAGGTATAGAGCCTCTGAGGGGCTGTTTCTTTGCCTCCTCAGGGCTGAGGTGTAACCTCCACCTACATACACCTACATACATGGTCTAATTTCTTTTTTTTTTTTTTTTTTTGAGACGGAGTCTTGCTCTGTAGCCCGGGCTGGACTGCAGTGGCCCGATCTCAGCTCACTGCAAGCTCCGCCTCCCAGGTTTACGCCATTCTCCTGCCTCAGCCTCCAGAGTAGCTGGGACTACAGGCGCCCGCCACCTCGCCCAGCTAGTTTTTTGTATTTTTAGTAGAGACGGGGTTTCACCGTGTTAGCCAGGATGGTCTCGATCTCCTGACCTCGTGATCCGCCCGTCTCGGCCTCCCAAAGTGCTGGGATTACAGGCTTGAGCCACCGCGCCCGGCCACATGGTCTAATTTCAAAATCAAGGACCACTCTGGATTAAGATAGTGTCTCAACCTCAGAGGCTGGGGAGGCCTGCAGAAGTTGTAAATTGGAGGAAATAGTGGGGTTTGTAAATCAGGGTACATTGTCTTTCATCAGGACAAAGTGTAAGGTTTTTCTTGGAGACAGGATCTCACTTGGTTACCCAGGCTGGAGTGTAGTGGTAAAATCACAGCTCACTGCAGCCTCAACCTCCAGGCTCAAGTGATCCTCTCACCTCAACCTCCTGAATATCTGGGACTACAGGCACATGCCACGATGCATAATTTATTTTTATATTTTGTAGAGATAGGATCTCCCTGTATTGCCCAGGCTGGTCTCAAACCCCTGGGCTCAAGTGATCCTCCCACCTTCTTCCCAAAGCACTAGGATTACAGGCATTGAGCCACAGTGCCTGGCTAAGGTTTTTCTTCTTTAGGATAGTATCAGACCATGCTTAAGTGCTCCTTTAGGTTTCTTGCTAACTCAAGAATGTTAAAGAGAAGCCTCCTCCCTTCCCAGAGCTATCTTCTAATAGCAGCTATTTTCTCTTTCAACAGAATCTCTTTAAAATGGACATAGAAGACTGCAATGGCCGCTCCTATATGTCTGGTAGGCCTTCTGTATGTTCTGTTTGTTAGGGGCTGGAAGCAGACGCTCTCCTGTAGAGCAGAGCAGAAAGCCTTCAGCCTAGGCACATAGCCTGTAAATATCCTAGTCACACAGCTAACTCTCATGCTTGGTGGCCCTTGGTAGTGTGCAATTATTTTGGTGATCTTACATTCCCTAAATAGTAATTCTCTTTTCCAGACTTCTTGGGGGATGGAGGAAGGGAATAGGAGGGAAATATGAGCGGACATCATTAGAAGAATAATTTGAAGCAAATAGATGGAAAGAAGACGTGGTTCCTTCTCCTTTGCTCTGAAGTCACCAGCCAAACATGAAATCCTGTTCTATCCAGATAGAGTGGCACAAGGTTTCAAACCTCAAAGGCCTGAGAGGGCCAGGTGGTCGTGTGAATGAGTGAAGTAAAGTTAGGATAATAAGCAGAAAAGAACGGTGGGGGCTGTCATGAAGTAGAGAACATATGTCCCACTTAAAAGGACAGCAACTTTCAGTGTCCACTAGAACTTGTCATGCAGGAATGTGTATCTAGTGTGGCCAAAACTTCTAAATGTTTAGGAGAAATCAGAAATCCAAATTTTTATATGAAATGTCTCCATTTTAAAATAATGACTCAAGGCTGGGCACGGTGGCTCACGCCTGTCATCCCAGCACTTTGGGAGACAGGCAGATCACCTGAGGTCAGGAGTTCAAGATCAGCCTGGGCAACATGGTGAAACCCCATCTCTACTAAAAATACAAAAACTAGGCCAGGCACAGTGTCTCACACTTGTAATCCCAGCACTTTGGGAAGCCGAGGTGGGCAGATCACAGGGTCAAGAGATCGGGACCATCCTGGCCAACATGGTGAAACCCTCTCTCTACTAAAAATACAAAAATTAGCTGGGCATGGTGGCGCATGCCTGTAGTCCCAGCTACTCAGAAGGCTGAGGCAGGAGAACCCGGGAGGCAGAGGTTGCCGGGAGCCAAAATCATGCCACCGCACCCCAGCCTGGAGACCAAGGGAGGCTCCAACCAAAAAAAAAAAAAAAAAAAAAAGAAAGAATAGAAACCAAAACTCGGTTTTGATGTGATGAGTATCCCTATCAGAAACCAAGCATCATTGTGGAAATGACCTATAGCTTATTTTTTACTCTAAAGTAGGACCAATGAAGGAATTATTGGCATGCACTAAAGGAGATAGCAAGATGGGTCAGACACACATATGAGAGTCATTGGCAACACCCGGGTAATGTAAGGTAAGATGTTGACTCTGGCCCCTTTCTTGTTTAAGGAGGGAAGGAGTTGGAATGGGTAAAGGCATTCAATACCTGCCGCATGCTTGACAGAATGACAGGGATCAGGCAGACTCATTTAATTGGAAGAGACTTTATTAGAACAAAAGTCATGGCGCTTGTGAGGAGCGAGCCAGTCCTCCTACCTCCTGCTCAGTTAAGCCTATTCAGAAAACCACTACTGAGCAACAAGTACACTTGGGACCCTGCTTTAGTGCTGGGGAACACTCAGATGGATAAAATCCAGTCCCTGCCATAAAGCAGGCAAATGAGAAACTACAAATCCTGTGGAGCTCTTTTCAAACCTGTTTATGGAGAATACTGGATACTCATGGAAAACTGAGGTGATTTGCTTCACCGTGCTATGAAACCAAGTTTTCCCTGCTTTCAGCAGATTGGCATTTCCTAGATAAGAAGTGGCCTCTGCACAGGATGGTTTCTGAATGGAAGTGGAGGCCAGGAACTCCTCCTGTGTACTTTGAGAATTCTAGATGTCAGCAGCTACCTTAGAAAGGGAAAGGGGAAAGTCAAAGTAGGGCTACCATTAGCTCTGAAAAGTACCCCTCTTAGGACTGGGCAAAGCTGTGCTCATCACTGACCCATCTCTCCTGGAAGAGTCATATGGAAGCAGAGGGAAAGGCTGCAGCACGCAGCCCTCCTGAAGCACACTGCGAACCTCCACAGGCCCCCACAGTTCTTCTGTTCCACACCAGGTGACTTTCCCTCATCAGGCCACTTGATGAAAAGGGTATCTCTCCTGTTCTTCCAAGAGATTTGAATTCCTCACAGAACGTGATTTAGAAAATCCATCTTTTCTCCCCTTTTCTCTTTTTAAAGCTGCAGATCATTCCCTTCTGGGGCAGGGAAAAGGGGGAGATAAGCAGGACTCTATTAATTTACGGCACAGATAACCACCCCCTCCATTTTCCTATCTTTCAAGGGAAACAGAGTTGCTCAAACCCAGCTCATGCCATTAATTGACTGAGCAGTGCTTGCCCCGTTTCCTAAGACTGTTAAATGTTTAAGAGAACTTTGGTAGAAAGGGATTCAGGGGTAGGCAACCCAAAGTTTCACAGCCCCTCCCACCCCCAAATTCTTGGAATCAGAAAATGTAGTCTTCCAAAGTAGGTCAGTTTGTCAGTGAGCAGCTCCTCTGAAAGGGAAGGGAGCAGAGGCCTTGTCCTGATAGAGGGCGGATTCATCCAGGGCTTTCGGCTGCTGGGGCCCCAGGGGCACAGGAGGGAGGGGAAGTGGGGAGACCATACCAGCCTTTTTGCCTGGGATCTGAAAGGTCTCAGGGCCACGGAGCAACACTAGCCTGACACCAGACTGCTGGGCCCTCTCGCCGCTGGAAAGGAGGAGGCTGTCAGTCCCCAGATCTAGAGAGCAACCTTCCTCCTGGAGGAGGAGGGAAAGAGTTTGGTGGGGGAGGGGCTTTCTGCCGATCTGAGAGCCTTGAAGCTGTCCGTGTCCTGGGCCCCATGACCTCTGGGGCCTTGGCTTCCCCAGCTGGCAGAGGATTGGGCCTTCCCTGGGGCCCCCCCTTTCTCCCTCCCACCCGCAGGCCCATCCATCTCTCTCTCTCTCTCTCTCTCTCTCTCTCTCTCTCTCTCTCTCTCTCTCTCGCGCACACACTCTTGCCTCTCTCAGGCATTTGTTGTGCAGTTCCTCTTTGTCTGCTGGGCACGAGGGGCAACGGCATCTGCCTTTCCCTCCCTGTGCACACACCCACCACCCACCCCCTGCACTGTCTTGGAAAAGGGATGCTGTAGCCTAGCATCTCCCCCACCATATACACATATACATTCTCTCCAGCCCCCTCCCCAAGCACATCCAAGCGTGCTCTCCCCTCTCCCTCTCTCCCTCTCTCTCTCCCTCTCTCTCTCTCTCACACACACACACACACACACACACACACACACTCAACACACATACACCCTGGGCTGAGCTGCTCTTGCTGGCTACAGCCGTGGGCCTCTGCTCACCGTGCCGCTGCTGCTGCCTGCGAAATGACGGCGGTTCCCCTCACTTCCAGGAATCCACGCTTCCTGGAAGGTGAGTGGCTGGGCTCACCCCTGCCTGCCACTGAGACGCAGACATGCATACACCACCCGCACTCCCTCGCCGTTTCCAAGGCGGCGGCCGCGTTCGCACCCCAGGGTCTCACCGGCAAGGGAAGGATAATGTAAGTTCAGGCAGAAGGCGGCTAGTGGAGGGAGGAAGGGGGGTGCTGGGGCTAGGGAGCCAATTCAGTAACTACTCCCAAGCCTGAGGAGATGGAGAGGATGGGGGCTGTGTGTATGTGTGTGTGTGTGCGCGCGTGTGTGTATGTGTGTAGCGGGGGAGGGGGCGTTCCTCCTTATACTTGCGGAGGATGGGAAAGGGTGTTTGGTGTTGCTAAGCAAAGACGGCGACTTGGACAGTGGGAGCCTGTGGTGACATCTTGATTAGGCCTTGGGGATAGAGGTAGAGCTGCCTGGGGTGAAATACCGAGACAGGCCTGGGTGGGAAGGGGTAGTGGAGAAAATCAAGGTAAGGAAGAGGAGCCTTGGCAAGCAGATGCCTCAGCCTGGAACAGAGATCTGAGGGGCCTCAGCCTCCTCCCCACAAAAGAGCTGAGGATGGGCGTCTTTCTTTGCTCTTTTACCCACTATTCCCTCCTAGCAGGCTAGGATCCTGCCACCCTGGAGCCCATGGTCAAGAAAGGGAAAGCAGTTATGATGAGGTCCCTTGCAGAGAAGTGTGGAGGTTCTCCAAGCTCATGGCTATTCCCTAGATGTAGCCACTATGTAAAGGTCTCAAGGAAAGGCAGCAGGAGTGGAGGGCTGACCTCCTTTAACATGTGAAACACCTTTAGCTTGTGGCCTGTTTCCCAGTTCCTTTCTCTCCCTCCTACTTTTCAGCCTTTACCTACCTCCCAGTTCCTCTGATGTGAACCTCATGATTTGGCTTTGCCCTCTGGGGGTTCAGCCAATCTATGATGACTTTGAGCAAGAACATTTCTCAGAGACCTAAGAGCAGCCTTAATTCTTGGCTTTGACAGTCTGGGATTTCTTGGGAGTCCCAGACTTTTGAAATTCCCATACTGGGGTTTCTGGGGCTGAGAGAGGAACTGCTAAACTTCCTAAATCTTACTCTGGTCCCCTTCACCCAAGCTAGAATTCAAAATCCTTGGTGTCCATGAAAGCCTTTCTGACTCCTGAAACAGATTCATTACACATATATATTAGCCCCATGAAAGTAGACTTGAGCCTGATTTTCCCCTTACCTTAATCTTTTTATTTTATTTATTTATTTATTTTTGAGACGGAGTCTCGCTCTGTCGCCCGGGTTGGAGTGCAGTGGCGCGATCTCGGCTCACTGCAAGCTCTGCATCCCGGGTTCCCGCCATTCTCCTGCCTCAGCCTCCCGAGTAGCTGGGACTACGGGCGCCCGCCACCTCGCCCGGCTAATTTTTTTGTATTTTTTTAGTAGAGACGGGGTTTCACCATGTTAGCCAGGATGGTCTCGATCTCCTGAACTCGTGATCCACCCGTCTCGGCCTCCCAAAGTGCTGGGATTACAGGCTTGAGCCACCGCGCCTGGCCCCTTACCTTAATCTTAGGGAGGGCAATAGCATCAAAGAGCCTCTTGAATTACTGGTATGACTCCTGCTCCTCTTCCTGCTTCTGGGCCTTAATTGGGAAAGCCACAAAGGATACTTTCCCCTCAGTGTTTCTAAGTGTACCTTTAAATATATTTTCCTCCATATAGCAAGTCCCTGGCCTCAAGAGGCAGCCTCAGCCGAATAAGCTGGGACCAGCGATGGATTTCCAACAAGTTCACTCATCCTTTTAGGGTCAAGGCCTCAAAACCAAGTGCCCTGTTCTTCCCTGATTAGTAACATCAAGTGATTTAGGGCACGTCAGCACTAATAAAGGGAATAAGAAGATACCCTTTTCAGCCCTTCTAACCCTAGTAAACCCTACACTTGGTTGAAAGGACATATTTAAAACTGGCTCTGAGTCTACAAATCTCAACCCACAATCCTGAGATGCTCACTTCATGATATGTGTGTGGTTCCAATTTTAGGCAACATTTTCAGGTAACCATGGCTCACCTAAAGATCCCCAGCTGGGAAAACTCCGCTTCAAGCCATAAGGCTTTTTCTATAGATAGTGAACAAATTTCCTCAGGCTTTGATGGGATAAATGGGGAAAATGGGACTTTAGGAGAGGATATGAATGAGAAATGGTCCCAAAGTCCTGAGTGGTTGTTTTCTTCCCACTGACCAAAGCTGGAGAGGGATCCCTCAGGAGGGTGTGTTCCGGATTTCTTGCCTCAGGCCCAAGACTCCAACCATTTTATAATGGAATCTTTATTTTGTGAAAGTAAGTATGTACATAGCTGGGCAATTGGGTAAAGTACTAATAGGTGGACTTCAGGGATGAATTTTAGGCTTCCTCTCTCTCTCTTGCACTCTCTCTTGCTCTTTCTCTCTCTCTCTCTTCCATATTTAGGCCTGTGTGCACACATCCATGCATGTTCATGTTAGCAGATAATGTAGAAGGCTACCAGTATGTTTATCCCAATAGGTATGTTCTCTTTATATGTATCTACATATGTGCTGTGTCTCTGTGTGTGTTTATCTACATGTATTTTTATTTCACCTATGTATTTGTGCAGAAGATTGCGGGGAGGAGGGATTTTTTTTAGAAAGACATTCATATCTTTCTTTAGGTATGTTATCTGATTTCAAAAAAATTATGAAAGCCTCAAAAAGCATTTTTACAAAGCAATTTATCAAAAAATTAAAACAAATATACTGAGAATAAATTGATCACTTAACAGTCAGTGGACATCAAATAGTAAACATGTGATTGGAATCAGATCAATAGGAGACTTTCTGGAGTAATCAAATTTTTGCTGAATTTAGAAAGTCTAAGGGGCCCAATTCTTCCCTACTAAGACGGTGACCCCCAATTGGCTGGGTAGGTGGTGGTGAAGGACATGGACACTTATTGTCTATGATCCCAGTTCCACACTAGCAGCTATGTAACCTTAGACAAGTAACATAACCTCTTTTGTACCTCAGTTGCCCCATCTGAAAAAATCATGATATTAGCACCTACTTCATATAGTTGTTGTGAAGATTAAATGAAATTATTCATTTCAAGTGCATAGAATAAAGCCTGGCACATAGTAAGTATTCAATTAATATCATTAGCTGCTATGATGATTACTAATATTATCATTAGATTCAGGGACAATTCCAGTTGCCTTTCCTGCAGATCCTGAACCTGGCTGGGGGCTCCGGAGAGGACCAGTAGGGAAGAATGTCTGTCCTGAACATCTGTCCCTTCTGCAGCCCCCATTTTTCTCTCCGCCCTGGCACGCCCAGCCCCAGCCCGGCTTCCTGTGGACGTCAGGCAGTGATGCTCTTCCCCTCAGGCCTAGATAAAGGTAGGGTAGGCAAGGCCCAGCCACTGAGCTCACGGAAGGCAGCACCAGGCATCCAGACTGGTGGGGGCGCAAGGTATGGTGCCCAGCATACAACACTGCCTTGTACATGGCTATGAAGGAAATATTTGTGAAATTTAACTGAATTTTTTTAAAAGATTAGGCAGTGGACAGTAGATAACTCCAGCTCCAGCTTTACCTGCCCTCTTGTTCTCTCCTCCAAGGTAGCGGGGACTCATCTCTGGAGAAGGAGTTCCTCGGGGCCCCAGTGGGGCCCTCGGTGAGCACCCCCAACAGCCAGCACTCTTCTCCCAGCCGCTCACTCAGCGGTAAGTGTAACCTCCTACCACCTCCTGGCAATAGGCACACCCTTTTGCGTTTGGCCTTCAGTTCACCTTCCACTGGCAACCATTTCCCCGTCGTCACCTCCTACTGGTCTCCTGCTTAGTCTGTAAGAGCGATAAGGAGACCAGTGTCTAGGGTTTTTCTGGCTTCTGAAAGGACAGTGAATAGTCACTGGCAGACTAGGGTGGAATTAAAAGAGGTATAGGTGGGATTAAGGTAAAGGTTTCAAAGAGAAATTATGGAATTAGAGAAGCAAGTAGATAGAAATGGTCATCAGGTGGAGTTAGATAGGAAATAGAGAGTAGAAGGACCTCCCCATCTCCCCACAGCCCATTCTCCTACCCAGACAGGGTCCCCATGACTGCTCCTCTCCAGCTGGCCCTAGATCTGTGACATTCTCTAAATGGTTGGAATAGCCAGGAATGTAGGTCGGAGCTAGAGCCAAAGCCTTCTCCTCAATGGTTCCTCCTTCCTTTATCCCTCCTGCCCTGCCTCAGAGTTTTATGGAGGTGGAGAGGGTAGAGGGGTTCAGTCTAATGGGGTGGGAGGGAACTGTAAGCACGTCTGTCTTCCAGTTTTGCTCTTTGGCCTGTTGTCCCCCTTCAGTCTTCCTAGGTCCGTTTTCCCGCCACTCTTAACTTGCTGGCTTCCTGCCCAGGGCCAAGCCAGACATCTTTCTTAATGACAAGAGAGTAGAAAAAAAAGCTCCCCTTAGTCACCTCGTCTCCTCAGTGACAGAAGACATCCTATGTACCCCCAACTTTTTACTTTTTGAGACAGAGTCTTGCTCTGTCGCCCAGGCTGGAGTGCAGTGGTGCGATCTCGGCTCACTGCAACCTCTGCCTCCCGAATTCAAGCAATTCTCCTGCCTCAGCCTCCAAAGTAGCTGGGATTACAGGCATACACAACCATGCCTGGCTAATTTTTGTATTTTTAATAAAGACAGTGTTTCACCATGTTGGCCAGGCTGCTCTCAAACTCCTGACCTCAAAAGAATCCACTGCCTCCGCCTCCCAAAGTGCTGGGATTACAGGCGTGAGCCACCACACCTGGCCCAACTTTTTTCTCATGAAGCCTATTTGCCTGGTGGGTGGGAGAAAAAGTTGTCTCAGGTTCCAGCAGGATTCTGATAGCAGCAGCAGGGATTCTAGGGTGTTAGTTCCATTTAAGGCTTGAATGTCTCAGGGCCTAAAGACACCCTCTTAAACTTTAAGAGTGCCATTCTGGGCCGGGCGCAGTGGCTCATACCTGTAATCCCAGCAGTTGGGAGGCCAAAGTGGGCAGATCACCTGAGGTCGGGAGTTTGAGACCATCCTGACCAACATGGAGAAACCCCATCTCTACTAAAAATACAAAATTAGCTGGGCATGGTGGCGCATGCCTGTAATCCCAGCTACTCGGGAGGGTGAGGCAGGAGAATCACTTGAATCCAGGAGGCAGAGGTTGCAGTGAGTCGAGATTGCGCCATTGCACTCCAGCCTGGACAACAAGAGCGAAACTCCATCTCAAAAAAAAAAAAAGAGTGCCATTCTGGCCTGGGAGCAGCTTCCCCCTTTGCCTCTCTCTATTCTAAACACCATCCCACCCCTCAGCCAACTCCATCAAGGTGGAGATGTACAGCGATGAGGAGTCGAGCAGACTGCTGGGGCCAGATGAGCGGCTCCTGGAAAAGGACGACAGTGTGATTGTGGAAGATTCATTGTCTGAGCCCTTGGGCTACTGTGATGGGAGTGGGCCAGAGCCTCACTCCCCTGGGGGCATCCGGCTGCCTAATGGCAAGCTCAAGTGTGACGTTTGCGGCATGGTCTGTATTGGACCCAACGTGCTCATGGTGCACAAGCGCAGCCACACTGGTAAGTAAGCCAGAGGGTCTCTGGGAGGAGCTCCCAGGGTGGGGTTGAGAGGCAGGGGCAGTGCTGGGACAACAGCAGGGATGGGGCTGGAGGAGGCCATGCAGGGAGTGGGTAGCCTCAGAAAGGGAAGGGTGTCACCCAGCACATTTTCTAGCTGACAAAATGAGGCAGGGTGGGGGTGGGTGCAGAATTTAGTTCCCCTCAATACCTGTAGTTTCCTGGCACTTTCCTCAACTGCTGTTATAAAGAAAAGCTGATATTTTTCTCAGTATATGAGGGAGGGGAAAGTGTAAACTCAAGAATGAGCCAGTGGTCCAATAGGGGTTAGACTCCTGGGTATTCTTTGGGCCCTCCCATCTAATAATAAAAAAAAAAAAAAAACGGAAAACAAAAGCCTTCTCTTCTCAGCTTCCTCAGGCCTTGGGCTCCTAGGGCAGAGTGGGCCCTGTGGGGCTGAGTTTTTGGTAACAGTCTTATGGCCTCGTGTTCCAGGCCCCTCTCCCTGACACACACTTCTAATCCACACCTTCCCCACAGTAAGACCCAAGGGATCCCCAAGGGATCTTGATAAAGCAGGGTTTGTGTGCATTGCACTTCTGCCAGTCAGCAATGTGTTTAGAGCACCTTCCCTTGGGCAAGGTAGGACAGAGGGTGGGGCGACAGGTTCAGCCTTCCAAGTTCCTCACATGCAGTCCTCTGGGATTTGTTCTTTCACTTGCAGGTGAAAGGCCCTTCCATTGCAACCAGTGTGGTGCCTCCTTCACCCAGAAGGGGAACCTGCTGCGCCACATCAAGCTGCATTCCGGGGAGAAGCCCTTTAAATGTCCCTTCTGCAACTATGCCTGCCGCCGGCGTGATGCACTCACTGGTCACCTCCGCACACACTCAGGTCAGTGAGTGTCCAGTGGGATGAGAGAATGAGGCTCCAACACACCCAGTATGTAGAGCTCAGTGACTTCTCTCGTATTTGGGGAGTTACGGTGTCTGTCATTGAGGAGGGGAGAGTATTTACAGAGCAGATAGGGCCCCCTGCCTCTCTCACCCATCCTCTGGGCAGCAAGGCCTCATGGGAAATTTGGGAGACACCTTGATGGGGTATTTTACATCCACCATATTCTGTGACTTGCAGCAAAAGGAATAGGGGCAATGTTCTTGGCTGTTAACAGTCACCCTTCCCTGACTTTTGTTTGTTTTTTGTTTTTTCAAGACGGGGTCTCACGCTGTTGCCCAGGCTGGAGTGTAGTGGCGCAATTTTGGCTCACTGCAGACTTGATCTCCTGAGCTCAAGCCATCCTCCCACCTCAGCTTCCTGAGTAGGTGGGACCACACATGCCACCACACCCAGCTAATTTTTGTATTTTTTCGTAGAGACAGGATCTCCCTATGCTGCCCAGGCTTGTCTTGAACTCTTGATCTCAAGCAATCGGCCTGCCTCAGCCTCCCAAAGTACTGGGATTACAGGCATGGCGTAAGCCACTGTGCCTGGCCTTCCCTGACTTTTGTATTTTAGATTGTTGATGCCACAATCCATGCCCTATTACCCCCAACATCTAAGCCCCTAGGAGATCCCTCCTCTCACTCCCATCTGCCCCAGGCCCCACACCTGTTATCATCTTCACCCTCCTTCCTCCCACACCACCAGAGGTCTTGGGCAACCAGTCTATCCTCTCCTTTACTTCCTACTGGCTCCTGGAAATATCCATGGGACTCTCAAATAGCAAAAAAGGGAGCCTAGGACTTCCAAATAGGAAAAGAGTATCCTATTTCTATTCCCTATCCCAAGAGGTTGTCACCTTCCCAGAGGCAAGAGAAAGTCCAGAGGGTGCCTAGAGATCAGTGTTTGGAACAGTGCTGGGAAACTGGATTAACAAGGTTTTCTAGCCTAGTCAAGACTGTTTGAATCAATATCTGTCTGAATCAGCTGGACAGATAGCACTTTTTAGGCATTTTACTAAGCTTTAGGCTTTTGGCTTGGACTTGGGAAGAGGCCAGGAGCTGAGCTGGCAAGAAGGAGGGACCTCAAGATTGGGAAAAGGCAGGAAGAAAGGAAAGGGGAAAGAATTAGTAGGGTCTGTCCTTGGAAACTTTCCTGGCTATTTTTCTCTTTTCTTAAACTCTCCTGAGCCAGGATTTAAAGGGACAGAGCAATCATTTCACCACCTTCTACTTTCTCCATCCACTTACCTTGTTTCAGGTTCTCCCACCTTGTAATTGGGACCTCTTTATCTCTATGTCTGTGGAGAAACAGGGAGAAAGATCATCGTTGATTCATGCTTTATATCTACAGAGCATTTCACTTATGTTTCTTCATGTGACCCTCATAACAATTCCAAGGTAGATGTGATTATCCCCATTTTGTTGACAAGGGAAATGAAGCTGTTGGGGGGAAAATGAGTTGCGGGTCACATAGCTATTCTGCAGCCTAGCTGGAACCCCATCAAGCTCCGGTGCCAGAAATACGTACTCCTTTTCCTCATAAAAGGGGCTGCTCTTCCTGCTGGTTTGGAACAAGGATGGCTTGGCCCCTAGAATTCTTACCAACTATGCTGTGAGGTCAACTGGGTAGATTTTGGATTTTGATCTGTAGATTATTAACAGAAGCAGACACAGATATACTGTCAGGTACCATCTATGTGAAGTGCTTTCTGTTGCAACCCCTATTATAAGAAAAAAGAGACTGGATGCATGTTCTCACTCATGTGGGAGCTAAAAATGTCGATCCCATAGAAGTATGGAGTAGGCTGGGCGCAGTGGCTCACGTCTATAATCCCAGCACTCGGAGAAGCCAAGGCGGGTGGATCGCTTGAGCCCAGGAGTTTGAGACCAACCAGGGCAACGTAGTGAGACTCTGTCTCTATTACAAACAAAAAGTTAGCCAGGTGTGGTGGCACACACCTGTAGTCCCAGCTACTCAGGACGCTGAGACAGGGAGGATCACTTGAACCTGGGAGGTCAAGACTACAGTGACCTGTGATCATGTCATTGTACTCCAGCCTGGGTGACAGAGTGAGACCCCTTCTTGGGGGGGGCGGTAAAAAAGGCCAGGCACGGTGGCTCATGCCTGTAATCCTAGCACTTTGGGAGGCCGAGGCGGGTGGATCACCTGAGGTCAGGAGTTCGAGACCAGCCTGACCAACATGGAGAAACCCCGTTTCTACTAAAAATACAAAATTAGCCAGGCATGGTGGTGCATGCCTGTAATCATCGCTACTCGGGAGGCTGAGACAGGAAAATCACTTCAGCCCAGGAGGCAGAGGTTGTAGTGAGCCAAGATCGTGCCATTGCACTCCAGCCTGGGCAACAAGGGCAAAACTCCATCTCAAAAAAAAAAAAAAAAGTAGAGAGTAGAACAGTGGTTACCAGAGGCTGACTGAGAAGGGTTGGGAGTGGGTGGACAGGGAGAGGCTGGTTAATGGGTAGAAGATTACAGTTAGATAGGAGGAATAAGTTGTAGTGTTCTACACCATAGTAGAATGACTGTAGTTAACATTAATTTATTGTATATTTCAAAATAGCTAGAAGAGATGATTTTGAATGTTCCCAACACAAAGAAATGATAAATGTTTGCCGGGCACGGTGGCTCACGCCTGTAATCCCAGCACTTTGGGAGGCCAAGGCAGATGGATCATGAGGTCAGGAGATCGAGACCATCCTGGCTAACACGGTGAAAACCTGTCTCTACTGAAAATGTAAAAAATTAGCTGGGCATGGTGTCAGGCGCCTGTAGTCCCAGCTACTCGGGAGGCTGAGGCAGGAGAATGGCGTGAACCCAGGAGGTGGAGGTTGCAGTGAACCGAGATTGTGCCACTGCACTCCAGCCTGGGCGACAGAGTGAGACTCTGTCTCCAAGAAAAAGAAGAAAAAAAGATAAATGTTTGAGGTGACAGATATGCCAGTTACCCCAATTTGATCATTACACATCGTGTACATGTATGAAAATATCATATGTATCTCATAAGCATGTATAATTATTATGTATCAATTATCAATTAAAATTTGAAAAATAAGAAAGCAGTTGGAGGATCATTCCTCTCCCAGATGTTAAACCATTTCCCCAAGGGTCTTTGGGTGGACAGGGACCATGGTGTTCATTTCTTTTTTTTTTTTTTTTTGAGACAGAGTCTCTATCTATCGCCCAGGCTGGAGTGCAGTGGTGCGATCTCAACTCACTGCAACCTCCGCCTCCCGGGTTCATTCCATTCTCCTGCCGAGTAGCTGGGACTACAGGCACCTGCCATAATGCCCAGCTTAATTTTTTGTGTTTTTGGTAGAGACGGGGTTTCACCATGTTAGCCAGGATGGTCTCAATCTCCTGACCTCGTGATCCGCCCGCCTTGGCCTCCCAAAGTACTGGGATTCATGGTGTTCATTTCATCCCTAAAATACAAGGGTTTACAGAGCCTGAGTAAAATGAAGTAGGTTGATTTAGTCAAGGCCCAGTTTTGGCATGGCAGGGTTAGGGGTGAAGAGTAATTACCAACTTCCTAGAGATACCTTCTCCTGTCTCCCTGCTCAATAGCAGCAAGATACATCCAATATACAATACCTTGTTTCTCTCCTCTCACAAATATGTCTTAAGAGTTATCTTTAAATAAAGTACCACTCTGTTTCCCAATTTTTTTTTCTTCAGTAGAAACAAGATCTTTATAACCTGTTCTTTTATTATAAGCACACAAACAAAACAACCCAAATTTGGTGTTCTCTTTTTTTTTTCTCTTGTTTATTTTATTCTCTGTTCTTTTATTCATTTTCTCTTTTCAGAATTACTCCATCAGTGATGGGCTTTCTAGAGCTCTCTTGGTATCTCAGTGTAGAGAGACAGAAAGACAAAATAATCAGTAAACCAGGCTAGGGCTGGAGGTCAAAATACAAGTAAAGGTCAATGAAAACTGCCCCCTCCCCACATTGGCAGATCTAAGGGCTCTCATTTCTATCATGCCAGCCCACCAGTTTCCCCCAAACCAAAGCAGATAGTTCATAAAAAGCAAAAAATCCCCTTGTCTGATAAACAGCACTTACATCCGCCTGCCAAATGGAAAGGTTAAACCACAGTCTGGGCCCCAGTCTCTGAGATCCTGCAGTGGGGCCTGCCTGCCTGCTAGGGATGATCCCCTACAAAGTCCCTGGGTCCTCACTGCTTTTGAGCAGCAATTTGGCCATGTTGAACAAGCCCACCACCAGTCTGAAGCCACATGCTCTAGGATTCCCTTGCTCCCATAACTGCACATTATCCCTCATCATCAAATATGGTTCATCTGTTCATGGTTGCAGCTGAAGTTGGGGAATGAAAGACAAGCAGAAGAACTCAATTTAGCAACATCCTTTCCTCCCCATGCCAGTGTATACTTGCTCTTGGCTGAATCTGCAGAGCCAGGGCACAGCGAGAAGTAGCTCTGATGCCATCTTTCCGCTCTCCTCCAGTCTCCTCTCCCACAGTGGGTAAGCCCTACAAGTGTAACTACTGTGGCCGGAGCTACAAACAGCAGAGTACCCTGGAGGAGCACAAGGAGCGGTGCCATAACTACCTACAGAGTCTCAGCACTGAAGCCCAAGCTTTGGCTGGCCAACCAGGTAGAGCTGTTGATGTACTACTGGGGAGTTAAAAGGGGATGGTGAGAGGGAGTGCTGGACAAGGGTGACTCCAGTATCTCCCGCACTGAGGGATGAAGTCTGTGGAACAGGGGATGCTTATCCCAGTAAATCTGCCTAATACCCCATTCTAGGTACCCCAGTTGGTGCAGAGCCTTGTCTGTGGTGGGTGCTTTAGGGAGATCGAGAGGTAGGGGAAGTTTGGGTCTATATCCTTGGCCTAATGGGAGAGAGAGAACACAAGAAGTAACCAAGGGCCAGATATGTATGATTGTCCCCAAATGATCTGAAATGTTGCTGGAGTGAGCTTTAGGTAGGGTAAACAGAGCCCAGTTTCCCAGGCATCTGGTATGACCTTCCTTGGTTACTGACCTGCTGGTTTTCTCCAGAGAAAGGCTGTGGGGCCAATGCCACCCCTACTCAACTGCTACTACTTGTCCTCAACTCCTTCCCACTAGGTGATGAAATACGTGACCTGGAGATGGTGCCAGACTCCATGCTGCACTCATCCTCTGAACGGCCAACTTTCATTGATCGTCTGGCCAACAGCCTCACCAAACGCAAGCGTTCCACACCCCAGAAGTTTGTAGGTAAGAGTCCAGTTGGAAAGAGGTATCAGCTTTAAGCCACAGCTCAAATAAATCTGAGCTGTGTGGTCTGGAGATTTGGTTTAGGGAAAGAAAGCAGTCTGGTGGGCCGGGCGCGGTGGCTCACACCTGTAATCTCAGCACTCTGGGAGGCCGAGGCTGGCAGATCACGAGGTCAGGAGATTGAGACCATCCTGGTTAACATGGTGCAACCCTGTCTCTACTAAAAATACAAAAAATTAGCCGGGCGTGGTGGCAGGCGCCTGTAGTCCCAGCTACTCGGGAGGCTGAGGCAGGAGAATGGTGTGGACCCAGGTGGTGGAGCTTGCAGTGAGCCAAGATCGTGCCACTGCACTCCAGCCTGGGCGACAAAGCGAGACTCCGTCTCAAAAAAAAAAAAGGAAAGAAAGCAGTCTGGTGGCCTCTGTTACTCAAAATCTATCCTCAGGACAGGAGGAAAGTAAAGAGGGAGGATGTACTCAAAGAGAGTGGAGAAGGGTTGGCACTGAAGACTTGTGGTGGTTTTAAGGCACAGGGTTGAGGGATCGGGCTGTCTCAGTTTTTTTTTTGAGACGGAGTCTTGCTCTGTCGCCCAAGCTAGAGTGCAGTGGCACGATCTCAGCTCGCTGCAACCTCCGCCTCCTGGGTTCATGCCATTCTCCTGCCTCAGCCTCCCGAGTAGCTGGGACTACAGGCGCCTGCCACCATGCCCAGCAAATTTGTTTTTGCATTTTTAGTAGAGACAGGGTTTCACCGTGTTAGCCAGGATGGTCTCAATCTCCTGACCTTGTGATCCACCCACCTCAGCCTCCCAAAGTACTGGGATTACAGGCGTGAGCCACCGCACCCAGCCCAGGCTGTCTCAGTTTTTAAGAATAACAAGAACTTCAGTCTGTGTGGGCCCTTAGAGAGTCAGAGAGAGGAAATAAGTATGTGGTTCCCCCTATCCCCAGCATTAGTCATTAGCTCTCTAAGGACCTGGAGCTTTATGGAGAGTAAGAAAATGAAGTATTACAAATCAGTGGCCTGGGACTGAGTCCTTCTCTAAGATTACAGCCTAGAGTCAGGGAGCAGTCCCCCAAAGGACCTGACCCTGGGAAAGTAAATGCAGTATAGTAAATAATGTTACACCCAGACCTGCAGGTAAGAAAACAAAGAATCCTGAGGAGAGTGTAGGAATTCTCCAAACCCAGCCCTGCTGAGTTCCTCTTCTCCACAGGCGAAAAGCAGATGCGCTTCAGCCTCTCAGACCTCCCCTATGATGTGAACTCGGGTGGCTATGAAAAGGATGTGGAGTTGGTGGCACACCACAGCCTGGAGCCTGGCTTTGGAAGTTCCCTGGCCTTTGTGGGTGCAGAGCATCTGCGTCCCCTCCGCCTTCCACCCACCAATTGCATCTCAGAACTCACGCCTGTCATCAGCTCTGTCTACACCCAGATGCAGCCCCTCCCTGGTCGACTGGAGCTTCCAGGATCCCGAGAAGCAGGTGAGGGACCTGAGGACCTGGCTGATGGAGGTCCCCTCCTCTACCGGGCCCGAGGCCCCCTGACTGACCCTGGGGCATCCCCCAGCAATGGCTGCCAGGACTCCACAGACACAGAAAGCAACCACGAAGATCGGGTTGCAGGGGTGGTATCCCTCCCTCAGGGTCCCCCACCCCAGCCACCTCCCACCATTGTGGTGGGCCGGCACAGTCCTGCCTACGCCAAAGAGGACCCCAAGCCACAGGAGGGATTATTGCGGGGCACCCCAGGCCCCTCCAAGGAAGTGCTTCGGGTGGTGGGCGAGAGTGGTGAGCCTGTGAAGGCCTTCAAGTGTGAGCACTGCCGTATCCTCTTCCTGGACCACGTCATGTTCACTATCCACATGGGCTGCCATGGCTTCAGAGACCCTTTTGAGTGCAACATCTGTGGTTATCACAGCCAGGACCGGTACGAATTCTCTTCCCACATTGTCCGGGGGGAGCATAAGGTGGGCTAGCAACCTCTCCCTCTCCCCCCAGTCTACCACTCCACGGCCCTGCCTACAGGCATCGATCCCTGTCCCCACCATTTCCCAAGGAGTTTTGCTTTGTAGCCCTCACTACTGGCTACCTGACCTCACGCCTGACCCTGACCCCTCCTCACCTATTCTCCTCCTCTATCCTGACCGATTTAAGCATTGTGATGAAACAGGTCTTTTGCTTATGTTTTTCCTTTTTCTCTTCTCTCATCCCAGCATACTGAGTTATTTATTAATTAGTTGATTTATTTTTGCCTTTTTTTTTTTTTTAACTTATATCAGTCACTTGCCACTCCCCCACCCTCCTGTCCACAGCTCCTTTCCACTTTAGGTCAATTTTTCTCTCTTAGATCTTCCAGCAGCCCGAGGCGTAGGAAGCTCCTCTTAGTACTAAGAGACTTCAAGCTTCTTGCTTTAAGTCCTCACCCTTTACATTATCTAATTCTTCAGTTTTGATGCTGATTTACCTCCCCCCAGCCCTACCTTAGCTCTGTGGCATTATATCTCCTCTCTGGGACTCTTCAACCTGGTACTCCATACCTCTTGTGCCCTCTCACTTTAGGCAGCTTGCACTATTCTTGAATGAATGAAGAATTATTTCCTCACTTGGAAGTAGGAGGGGCTGAAGAAATTCTCCCCAGGCACTGTGGGACTGAGGGTCCTCTTGATGTTCCCCTAGTAATATGAGTTCTCAAAGCCTACATTCAGGATCTCCCTCTAGGATGTGACATATCTGGTCCCTCTCCTTGAACTACCCCTCCACACGCTCTAGTCCCTTCAACCTACCGGTCTATTCAGTGGTGGCTTTTCTCTCCTTGGAGTGCCCCAATTTTATATTCTCAGGGGCCAAGGCTAGGTCTATAACCCTCTGTCTCTGACACATTGGGAGCCTCAGGTGCCTAATTGGGAACCAGGGCATGGGAAAGGGGTGGGTCAAAATTCTTCTCTTTCTCCTCCACCTCTCAAACTTCTTCACTATAGTGACCTTCCTAGGCTCTCAGGGGCTCCTTCAGTCCCCATCCTATGAGAAACTAGTGGGTTGCTGCCTGATGACAAGGGGTTATCTCAGCCCCTCAGTCATGCTGCCTTCTGCTGCTCCCTCCCAGCAGGGTTCACCCTCTCATTCCCGGGCTCCTGGGCCCTGTTCTTAGGATCAGTGGCAGGGAGAAACGGGTATCTCTTTTCTCTCTTCTAATTTTCAGTATAACCAAAAATTATCCCAGCATGAGCATGGGCATGTACCCTTCACCCCATTCCACCCTTGTTCCAGCAAGACTGGGATGGGTACAACTGAAATGGGGTCATCCTTTACTACCCCCTTCTACACTCAGCTCCCAAACACAGGGTAGGAGAGGGTACTCCTGGCTACTGCAGAGACCCCTGGCTATTTGAGTAACCAAGGATTAGTGAGAAGGGGCAGAAGGAGATACAACTCCACTGCAAGTGGAGGTCTCTTTCTACAAGAGTTTTCTGCCCGAGGCCACAGCCATCCCACTCTCTGCTTCCTTGAGATTCAAACCAAAGGCTGTTTTTCTATGTTTAAAGAAAAAAAAAAGTAAAAACCAAACACAACACCTCACAAGTTGTAACTCTTGGTCCTTCTCTCCTTTTCTCTTCCCTTCCTTCCCCTTCCATCTTTCTTTCCACATGTCCTTTCCTTATTGGCTCTTTTACCTCTTACTTTTCTCACTCCCTATCAGGGATATTTTTTGGGGGATGGTAAAGGGTGGGCTAAGGAACAGATCCTGGGATTAGGGCCTTAAGGGCTCTGAGAGGAGTCTACCTTACCTTCTTATGGGAAGGGAGACCCTAAAAAACTTTCTCCTCTTTGTCCTCCTTTTTCTCCCCCACTCTGAGATTTCCGCAAGAGAACCAGATTGGCAGGGAGAAGCATTGTGGGGTGATTGTTGACAATGTAGCAATAAATAGATGCTGCCAAGGGCAGAGAATGGGGAGGTTAGCTCAGAGCAGAGTGGTCTCTAGAGAAAGGAAGAATCCTCAACGGCACCCTCGGGTGCTAGCTCCGTTTTAGAATGTCAGCAGAGCTGAGATTAATATCTGGGCTTTTCCTGAACTATTCTGGTTATTGAGCCTTTCCTGTTAGACCTACCCCCTCCCCCCTCTTCTGTGTCTGCTGTGTATTTGGTGACATTTCATAAGGACTAGTCCCTTCTGGGGTATCAGAGCCTTAGGGTGCCCTCATCCCCTTCCCCAGTCAACTGTGGCACCTGTAACCTCCCGGAACATGAAGGACTATGCTCTGAGGCTATACTCTGTGCCCATGAGAGCAGAGACTGGAAGGGCAAGACCAGGTGCTAAGGAGGGGAGAGGGGGCATCCTGTCTCTCTCCAGACCATCACTGCACTTTAACCAGGGTCTTAGGTACAAAATCCTACTTTTCAGAGCCTTCCAGCTCTGGAACCTCAAACATCCTCATGCTCTCTCCCAGCTCCTTTTGCATAAAAAAAAAGTAAAGAAAAAGAAAAAAAAAATACACACACACTGAAACCCACATGGAGAAAAGAGGTGTTTCCTTTTATATTGCTATTCAAAATCAATACCACAAACAAAAAAATTTCTAAGTAGACACTTTTCCAGACCTTTGTTTTTTTGTGTCAGTGTCCAAGCTGCAGATAGGATTTTGTAATACTTCTGGCAGCTTCTTTCCTTGTGTACATAATATATATATATAAATATATATATTTTTAATCAGAAGTTATGAAGAACAAAAAGAAAAAATAAACACAGAAGCAAGTGCAATACCACCTCTCTTCTCCCTTACTCTTAGGGTTTCCTTTGTAGCCTATGTTTGGTGTCTCTTTTGACCTTTACCCCTTCACCTCCTCCTCTCTTCTTCTGATTTCCCCTCCCCCACTTTTTTAAAGAGTTTTTCTCCTTTCTCAAGGGGAGTTAAACTAGCTTTTGAGACTTATTGCAAAGCATTTTGTATATGTAATATATTGTAAGTAAATATTTGTGTAATGGAGATATACTACTGTAAGTTTTGTACTGTACTGGCTGAAAGTCTGTTATAAATAAACATGAGTAATTTAACACCTCTGGTTGTTGTTGCAGACTTCCTTTGCCTTGATTTTCTACTAAGAGGGAGGGGTCCTCCTTGCAGTATGTTATACCAACTACTGAACAGTTTAGGAGGTGAACAAACACGAAGAATTTTCAGCCTAGACTGGGAAATGGAGGAGATTTTCCTACCAGGAACGAGTGCCTTCAGGATAGGAGAGAAAGTCTGACTTGCCTGTCTACCCAAAGTAGAAATTTTTTCTTTTTTTTTTTTTTTGAGACAGAATCTGGCTCTGTCGCCCAGGCTGGAGTGCAGTGGCCGGATCTCAGCTCACTGCAAGCTCCGCCTCCCGGGTTTAAGCCATTCTCCTGCCTCAGCCTCCGGAGTAGCTGGGACTACAGGCGCCCACCACCTCGCCCGGCTAGTTTTTTGTACTTTTTAGTAGAGACGAGGTTTCACCATGTTAGCCAGGATGGTCTCCATCTCCTGACTTCATGATCCGCCTGTCTCGGCCTCCCAAAGTGCTGGGATTACAGGCTTTTGCCACCGTGCCCGGCCCCCAAAGTAGAAATTAATCAAACATTTGTTGAGTACCTACTGTGCACAAAACACATTCTATGCCCAGGGTAAAATAATGTGAATGATGCTAATCATAGGGTCTACCACTGCTTGAGCATCTCATAAATGCTAAGTACTCATTGAATTGTAGAAACACCTACAAAAGGATGATCACAATTATTGGTGAAAAAATAAATGCCCAAGAGAGAATAAATACCTTGTCCAAGACTCATCAGCCAGTAAGTGACAGAACCAGAATTTGAACCCAGGGGTGTGTGACTCCAAAGCATGTGCTCATCCCTTTACACCAGGAAATGCAGCCAGTGAAACCCCTAAGCTAGAAAAATCCAAAGTAGGAACATCAATTTGTTTCTGTCTTAAATAGTAACTATTTTCTGTTCCCTTTACTCTGAACTTTTTTCTGTTCTCTTCCATCTACCTCATTGCTATTCCATATAGTAATGTCTGCCTTGTTTTCCATGAGATTACAGTGAAGTGAAAATTAGAGACAATCCTATCTAGAGTCTATTATTTTCCATGTCCCATTGAAACTGGCAAATTCAAAGTCAAAACAGACAGGAAAGCTGGGAGTGGTGGAGCACACCTGTCATTCCAGCTACTTGGGAGGATCACTTGAGCCTAGGAGTTTGAGAACAGCCTCAGCAACACTGGGCAACACCATCTCTACAAGAAATTTTAAAATTAGCTAGGCATGGTGGTACATGCCTGTAGTCCCAGCTACTCGGAAGGCTGAGACGGCAGGATCACTTCAGCCCAGGAGGTCGAGCCTGCACTGAAGTGTGATCACGCCACTGCAGCCTCCAGACCCATCTTAAAAAAGAAAAAAAAGGGCTGGGCACGGTGGCTCACGCCTGTAATCCTAGCACTCTGTGAGGCCAAGGCAGGCAGATCATGAGGTCAGGAGATCAAGACCATTTGGCCAACATGGTGAAATCCCATCTCTACTAAAATACAAAACATTAGCCGAGCATGGTGGCGCGTGCCTGTAGTGCCAGCTACTTGGGAGGCTGAGGCAGGAGAATCGCTTGAACCCAGGAGGCGGAGTTGCAGTGAACCGAGATCAAGCCACTGCACTCCAGCCTGGGCGACAGAGCAAGACTCCATCTCAAAAAAAAAAAAAAAAAAAAAGGCTAGGCACAATGGCTCACACCTGTAATCCTGGCACTTTGGGAGGCCGAATCAGGTGGATATCCTGAGCTCAAGAGTTCGAGACCAGCCTGGGCAACACGGCAAAACCCTGTCTCTACTAAAAATACAAAAATTAGCTGGGGCCGGGTGCAGCAGCTCACACCTATAATCCCAGCACAATGGGATGTTGAGGCGGATGGATCATGAGGTCAAGAGATCGAGACCATCCTGGCCAACATGGTGAAACCCTCTCTCTACTAAAAATATAAAAATTAGCTGGGCATGGTGGTACACACCTGTAGTCCCACCTACTTGGGAGGCTGAGGCAGGAGAATCGCTTGAACCCAGGAGGCAGAGGTTGCTGTGAGCTGAGATGGCGCCACTGCACTCCAGCCTGGGTAAGAGAGCAAGAGTCTGTCTCAAAAAAAAAATAATAATAATAAGGAAAAAGAAAGTAAGAAAACAGATTTTAGCACCAAAAAGTGGGTTAAAGGTTAAAAGAAACCATGATGTATGATGGGTTGCTGGAGGGAAGGTGAATCTGGTGTGTTCAGACTCTAGAGTGAGTCATGAATGAACAGTGGTTTCCATCTGTACCATCTTGGGTCTCAATGCTAGGAGGCCCCCTTGCCACCCTAGTGTCTTCAGCTTTGGGACAACTGGGTGGTTGGCTGTCTGTGGACAGCCATTCCTACTCGGCCATTCCTACTCAAGGCTGAAGCTTTCTTTTTTTCTTTTTTTTTGAGACAGAGTTCCGCTCTGTTGCCCAGGCTGTAGCACAGTAGCCCAATCTCAGCTCACTGCAACTTCCGCCTCCCAGGTGCAAGCAATTCTCTTGTCTCAGTCTCCCGAGTAGCTGGGATTACAGGTGTGTGCCACCAGGCCTAATTTTTGTATTTTTAGTATAGATGGGATTTCACCATGTTGGCCAGGCTGGTCTCAAACTCCTGACCTCAGGTGATCTGCCCGCCTTGGCCTCCCAAAGTGTTGGGATTACAGGCGTGAGCCACTGCACCCAGCCTAAGGCTTAAGTCTTTCTGATGGCTCTCCAGAGGTAAATGGAGTTTATACACAAGAATCTTTCACTTAGGGGTCAGACTCACTAATCAGTGGTGAAATAACTTTCATGGTTTTTGATCAGCATTTATTAAAATAAAATAGAGAACAGAAAAATATAGAGAATAGAACATACCAGCACACCTATGAGAAGGGTAAGTATCGTTTCATGAAGCTTGTGTTTCAGTTCTGCATGTGCATGTAATCATGTTTGTGTGTGTACCGGGTACCAGTGTAAAATGTATTCGTGCTGAAAAACGTTTAAGTCATTAGTCCAGGCTATTTCCTCCACCCACTTGTTAGGTGACATACAGCATAGTACAGCGGAGCCAGAATACCTACTGCACCTCAGTTCTTCAATCTTTTTTAAAAAATTTATTTATTTATTTTTGAGACAGAGTTTCGATCTTGTTACACAGGCTGGAGTGCAGAGGCTCACTGGAACCTCCGCCTCCCAGGTTCGATTCTCCTGTCTCAGCTTCCTGAGTACCTGGGATTACAGGTGCCCACCACCACGCCCGGCTAAATTCTTCAATTTTTAAAGTGAGGATAATAATAGTACCTGCCTACAGGCTTGCTCAAAGTTAAATGAGTTAATATTTATAAAGGCGCTTACCACAGTGCCAGGCACTGTGCCAACAGGGTCCAGAGATTAAAAAATGAACAAGAAATAGCCCCAGCCTCAATGCACTTCATTGTGGGGTTTTCTCCATATTGGAAGGAGGGATTCACAAAATGCTTGTTTCCTCTCAGGCCTTCCACTTCGTAATCCTACACCTACCTAGTAGCAGGATTGTCAGAGAAATGAGCCCAGGGCGTCACCCGGTGGCGCAGCGCCGCCTTCGGTCTAAGGACTTGGGGCCAGGGGCGCCTCTTGGCTTCGCACTACAATTCCCACCAAGCATCTCTCCCTCTCTGGCCTCTAATAAGGAGTGCGCCTTGTGGTCCAGCGTCGGGCAACTTCCACGCCTACCGTCGCGTAAACCGGAAAACCGCGTCGTCCAGCATCGCGTCCGGTGCGGCGCGGCGCAAGGCTTGCTGGGAGACACATAACCTCGATTTTCTTCCGCCAGCCGGCTAAATAGTCCCATGTGCACATTGTTCCACAGATAAATAAACACTAGGAACGCATTTTCACCCTAGATTTCAGCAGAAATATTGAATATAAGGGAATATTTGAGTAAACTGAGTTCCTGTTCTTGACGCCCGTCTCCTAAGGATTCTCCCGGTGTGCGCGTAGGGATCTCATGCTATATAAGAGGGCCCTGCCAAGCACCGTCTCCTCTTTTCGGTCCGTACGTCCAAAATGGTTAGTGCTGTTGCGTGGTGAGGATGGGGGTTCGGGTGCAGACTCTGGGATTGTGGGGATTTGAGAGCCTGGAGCACAGCTGAGGGGTGGACAGAGTGTACATTTGCTCTGGGGCTTGGCGGGATTTGCGGAGAAACAGGAGATCCGAGCGGAGCCTTTCTGTAGGCTCCCGGTGCGGCCTGTGGCCGGAAAGGGGCTGAGGCTGGGTAAGTTGCGCCGCCTTCCTAACAGGTTTTCCGTCCTGATGCAGACAAAGAAAAGAAGGAACAACGGTCGTGCCAAAAAGGGCCGCGGCCATGTGCAGCCTATTCGCTGCACTAACTGTGCCCGATGCGTGCCCAAGGACAAGGCCATTAAGAAATTCGTCATTCGAAACATAGTGGAGGCCGCAGCGGTCAGGGACATTTCTGAAGCAAGCGTCTTTGATGGTGAGTGGATCACCGGCTAAAACTGCTTGAGGATCCCAGTACCTTAAAAGCCTTCACCCAACCTCGCCCTTCTGCAGGCTCTGTTCGTTGGAGCCTCTCAGGCACTTTCCACGTATGTAAGGTTGTTGCTGGTAGAAAAGAATATTATGTGCTCATGTTTGTCGTTTTGATTCTTTTCTGGGCAGAAGGTTAGTTTTTGTGTTAGAGTGCACAGCCTTTACTCTGAGGTAAACGTTTGTCTGTTTCGGTTATGAGATTCCAAAAGCTAGAAACTTGGTAAATTTGACAATTCTTATACTGTGATTATTTGAGTACTTTGTGAAAATGTACAGGTAAGGAAGAATGTCTTCAACGTTTCGAGAATGGAGGCAGTCTAGTTTGGTGTGAAAGGATGATGTTTGGAGCCATAAGAACGTCGCTTTGTTTCTTTTCCTTAAGTTATTTTTATAGAAAGAGCGAGGTTCAGGGTAGGCATTAGGGTGGGTGTAGCTGTAGAAGGAACTGGATTATTGGTTTATTCCATCTAGAGTGTCAGT